CATACCCTACAGGAAGATATGGTAAAATATTTCCAATATGCAATAACACTGCCTTTAAACTCAATGTTGAACTGTCTATAAACAATCTCCATTCTTCTGGGTTATAGTTTATATTTAAAGCCGCCAGTAAGCCGTTAATGTTACTGCAGAAAACCAAGTCTTTGTGGCGTTTACGAAAAACATATACCGAAACATCGTCTTCTAACAAGTTCCACTGCTGCAGTCTTGATCCAAGTAACTCTGCCTTACATTTTGGAAGTTCTAAATCTCTTACAAGATCATTTAATTCTGACTGTGTTATTTTGTGCGGTTGGTGGCATGACGTGCTCGGTATAAAATCAGGATCTCTTGACGTTGATGGCATATCTTCTTCCTGACGAATCACTCGATCGCCATGATCTGATTCGTTTTCTGATTCGCAAGTGTAGGATTCTGGGGGTTTTGGAATAGGATTTTCGTCACTGTGAGGCACAGGTCTCATCGCAGATGGTATGTTTGGGTAGTTAATAACCGATTTTTTTTTCTTGGACATATCTGTGGCTTGTCCAACACAAGGTACCATGCAAAAGTAACAATCATTATTATGATTTGTAGGCTCTCTCCAAACCATAGGGACAGCAAAGCGCATTTAACTAGCTCCTCAGACTTGAAGCACATGTATTACAGCAGATGTGGGCTGCCCACTGTTTGTCTTGATCACCTAGTTTACAACCGAAATAAAGCTGATATGCCTTTGTTATTAGTGGAGTAATAGACCGTCTCTGAGACGCAAAAGTCACATCACCACACACGTAACAAAACTGATCTGGATTGTTTACACACTTTCGAGACATCTTGCATGAACGCTGTCAGCCAACTGAGGAAAAAATGGCTAATATAAAACAATATAATGTACACGTATGTATTACGTAACACAATCATGCCGATTACATCATCTTTCCTTGCCGAATATAAAAATGTAGCACGTGCATTATTGTGAATTACAGTATATTAACACTGTCACAGCAGGAACACATATAATTACCGTATCTCTAAAACTTGAACTAATATTGAAAAAATAAGTTTCATTCCGGTTTTAGCACATTAAAAACAGTAATATTTTGTTGATTTTATTTAGGATATTTTTTGGCTGTTGATCAGTGTTGTTAGTCAGAGCCCGATGAACAACCCACTACTTACTGATAGTTGATCGATTGATTTTCATCGATTTGGGCAATTGATGGACCTCCAGAGCGAGGTTTGTCATCGAGCGACATGTCGCCATTTTTAAATCGAGCAAACCACTCGTACACCTGAATTTTTCCCATAACGTCATCTTTGTAAGCTATGTTCAACCTTAAAACAGTTTTAGCGGCATTTTTGCCAATTAGAAAGCAAAATTTCACAGCTGCGCGTCGCTCACTGAAGCGTGCCATCGCAGAAAAGGAAACTAGTACTACAGAGCAACAAAACGAGCTAGATCGACAACACACTGAACCTGCACTGAACTAAAAATGAGTTGCGCTGTACGCCTCTAAAGGCAGAAACGTGTACTACACAAGCTCCGCCCACTGCAATGCTATTCCGGTTATTTTTGTGTACCTCCTCGTATATACCATTAATTTGAACGCGTCAGATGTCGGCATTTGTACTTTACACAATATTTTGGATATTTTCAACATAATAATAGGACTAACGTTACCGTTGTTATTAAGACTTTCTCTGAGCTTGCTAAATATGTTTTCTGAAGCAGAGGTAATCGACAATGCCAGCGTAAAAAAGTCAGATGAGAATAATGGTTAGGTGAGACGATAATGGAGCGTTTTTGCACCGTTAAAGTATCAGATGACTTAGGGTCAGCTTTCAGATAAAAACGAAGCTTGTTATATAAAACATTTTATAAGGAATAAAAAAGTGATGAATTGTACTCTTTAGAGCAGTGGTCGTCAATCCGTCGACCGCGAGCAACCGGTAGCTCTCAAAGGCAATTCTGGTGGCTCACAACGTAAAAGGTGTAAAAATCATAGGAGCTTCCATAAAATTTGTAAATTCGCACTGAAAACATCCTTTGACAGCTTTTGTCAAATTGCATTTCGATAACGTCTATTCCTATTGGTTCAAGGGACAGTTAAGTATAAATGTTGGTGAAATTGGCTCTAAGAGCAGTAATTAGGCAATGATGTACAATCAAAAAACATAAAATATATTTGCTAGTTGAGAACTCGTTGACTTAAAACGGCATTATTAACAAATGAAGCGTTTTTTTATATCTTGATTGATTTAGTTTTTATTGGCTTTCTGCCTCACCCCGTATCATTATTCATACGAATCTATTGAACCCTCGCGAACTTCCGGCGCTGTAACTAAATCACAACTTCATTCACGGTAGCAGTGCTGCAAACAAGCAAAAGTGAATTAGCGCTTTCCTCGCTCACCTGTAATGAAAAATTTGTTTCCGGCGCCGGAGCTACAAATAATAACACCGAGCGTGTTTTGCTCGACACCGGATAACCAACCTGATTACATCCACATCGCTGATACCGGGGCAGCTGAATACATCCTAAGCTTTGCAGACATTCAGCCAAGTTTATTATATCTGTTATCTCTCCATTTGTAGCGCAGCGTAAATGGAGTACAAGCTCTGTCGCAGAGTAAACAAGACAAAGAACAAAATTAAAAAACATTTTTTATTTCGGAAAGTAACATTTATTTTCTGTCAAGGTGCTGGACAGAGAAAATTATCTATCAAAACGCCTGTTTATGGAAATGTCACATATCTCCATGACAGACAATTGCATGAACAAAAAAAGCTGATGTCAATCAACTTAGCGTCATATATGCATATTTGCTGAACCGCAAAAAATTGGTAAAGCAACATATCTCCCCCAACAGCGACCTCTCCCGATAATCGCTCAATCTACATAATAAAAATTCTTCACTATCTTAGTAAAATCAAAATCAAAATTACTCTAAGTCTTTTGTGCTCAAGTGTGAACACTCCCTACACATTTCCTCATGGTTTGGTAGGACAAGATCCAAATCACACTCCTTCCAAAGCAACATCTATCAAGTTTTGAAAATAGCTATGTACTTCACTGGTCAATAATAGCACAACCTCTTGCACTATACTACAAAACTACCTACACGTAGGCAACACACGTCACAGTTACGACACAACGAATGAACTTCCAACAACTAAAATCTCGAAGGAATTTTCAATAGTTGGTAGTTTTCAAATTTCTTCCAAAATCAACCAACGTTTAGATGAAAAACCTTTTCAAAAATAAAAAAGCACACCTATGATTTGCCATTTAATAATAAAATAATTCCGCCCTAATCGAACCTCATCAGTCCAGTTTTTTATTCATCGACTATGTGTTCCCTTCACTGTTTAAAAACAGTATCAGGAACAATCTTGCCGACTTAGTAAGTAACTACTTTTCGTCCTAATTGTTAATTGTTGCTATTGTTAATAATTGTTTCCAGCTCCAGACGATGAAGACATAGGTCTTCGAAAGCTCGAGTTCATGTTATAAGAGTGTACTTTTGCAATACGTTGCCTTCTATCCAAAGAAATTCAGGGATATATATATATATATATATATATACTAAGTGACATATAAATCCGAACACCCAGTTTAAATGGTTTTATTTTAATAAAATTTTGTATAACTACTTAATGAAGCATAATAAGTAACTGATAAAAATTTCAAAATGATTTCACTGCTTTAAAGCCCTTTGACCTTAAATAATGTGTGGATGCTCCCTGATGTGCTACGCATTCTCCAACGCGCCTAGGCATGCTTCTGATCAGGTGGTCAATGTCCTCCTGTGGTATCTCATTCCAGGCAACCACCAACTCCTCTCGAAGTGCTTCTAGAGTCTGAGGAGGACGTTGCAAATTGAACAATCTTCTACCCATCATATCCCACACGTGCTCAATTGGGGATAATTCGGGAGATCTTGGTCGCCATGGTAACAATGTGACATCATTATGTTGAAAGAAGTCTATTGTGACTCTTGCAACATGTGGTCGGGCATTATCTTGTTGGAAAGTTGGATCTGCCAGGGTGTCAAGATAGGGTAAAAGATGGGGTTCTAGAACTTCGTGGATATAACGCTGCGCGCTCATGTTACCTCTGATGAAGATTAAAAGGTGACCTGGAACCATAAGCTATAGCACCCCAAACCATAACTCCAACAGTGTGATGAACATGTCTTTCAACAAAAAACTGTGGATTCCTCCTTTCACCACGTCGCCTTCTAACCCTTACACTGACGTAATCGCCTTGAGTGGTGCAGACAACGGTCACTCTGGGATCAGTATTGTCTTTAGTGACGAGTCTCGATTTTGTTTAGGCATGCACGATGGTCGTGCCATTTTTTATTTCGTTTGAGCCACGCAGCAAACACCACTATTCACTCACGTGTTAGCGACTGACACATTGACTGAATAAAAACATCGTGATCATCGTTTCAAATTCTTTCGCTTTTTTGTTTCCGATGCGATAAACCGATAAGGCAGATTATATCCTTTGTTGCCAAACACGAGCACATAACATTATTATTGAGACAGGGCGGTACTCAAACTTCTAAAGGGCTATAACTTTGTTACTTTAATTTTACCACAAAAATGTTAAAGGAAAAAACATTTCTTTTGATCAGGTCTACTCACTGTTAAAATAAATGACTCAACTTCGAAGTCACCCTGTATATATAAATGTACTTGTATGAGTCTTTCCTGTTCCATACAATATGAAATACGAAACCCGCACGATGGACGGTTTGGAACTTTCATGAATTTGGTTCTGGTCCTGAGGTTCCGCATACTTTAATTTAAGCATCTAGAGAGACGCATAACTAATGTTTCCAAATAGACTTAGGCATACATTTTCAGGAAGCTACCCAGACCATACGCTAAGCGTTAAAAATAACAGCAAACAGACAAAGCTCCTAGCTAGCACTTCTTGTTACCATTTTATTGTAAACCGACAGTCCTGGTGTCCTTTTAGCGTACTCACTTGTTCAGTTATCTAGTGACGATCACATCAGTACCAAAAGCTTTGAAACATCTGTAATATAACACGAGTGACATTACAGTTGTTGATGATGTTCATACTGTGTACCAATATCTTACCCATGGAGGTTTTGTTCATCTTTCCTACCTAGAACGTCCTGATGATTGCCAATAAGCATGAATCAGCGCTGTGAAATCAGCAAACGTCTCAGACCACATTTTCTTCTCGGCCGCAAGATGCCCGTCGTAATTGATGGATTTTCCCCTTAACTCATCAGTGTCAACCCGGGCGTCTCCTAAGGTTCACTTTTGGCCTCTGTTACACATTAACGTCTTCTCCTTCCCCCACTATAGATCCGTATCTCAACAGTTCGGGTGATAGCACCTTGCATGCAGCTGTTCAGTACCAAGATGATTTCTGTGCATGAACTAGTTATAAAAGACTACTTGACATTACATAAATGTTTTGTGACATTATGTTACAGTCAAGATTGCACAAACTGCATCCATGTAGGTTGGTAAGTGTACGTATCGCTGATTGCACTGCGCATCGATCTAGCTCGGAAGACGACTGCTTTTTAAAGGTATAATCATCTGCTAGGCGCTGCGATACTACCTCTAATATACTTGCAATATTGTCAGCGCTTTTATTCGATCATCTGGTTCATCGGCAAATACTAAACGCTGTAAAAGTGATGTTCCAATTTACATTTCACGTAAATCGTGACGGACTTTAATAAGTTTCATCTAAAAACTCGATCTAAAGTTTAAAAAGGTATATTAAACGGCTTGATTGATGACTTCTTTCACAATTTATCATCTTCGTAGCTGCAGAAAGTTTAATTTTATAGATTGTGAATCTAACAAAATTGGGTTACGGTTTTTGCATGTTGTTGGTACATAGGGTGTGTCAACAAGCTGAAAAGGTTGTTTTTGGCATCTCTTTCACAGATTTTTCCCTAAGAAAATTGATTGCAACGGGAAGGATCTTTGCGAAACGTACATGTGATGGATTACTTCCCGGAGCGCGGGAGATACATTTTGCATGTTTAATAACGTGCTCGCAGTTCGGGTAGATAGTTTGGTATTTGGTGATTACGCAATTGTTTTTGAGCTTATTGTTTATTCAGATGAAATTGTACATTTGATAGCTGGAATGCGTTCCTTACATCCATTTTTCGAATCACAGAAGACAACTACAAAGAGTAGGAAAGATAATTAATATTTTTAATAGAGTACACACATAGGAAGCTTATTTTTAACACGCTTTTATCAGCTTGGCCTATATGTATGTATACTAAGTGACATATAAATCCGAACACCCAGTTTAAATGGTTTTATTTTAATAAAATTCTGTATAATTACTTAATGAAGGATAATAAGTAAATGATAAAAATTTCAAAATGATTGCACTGCTTTAAAGCCCTTTGACCTTTAATGATGTGTGGATGCACCCTGATGTGCTACGCATTCTCCAACGCGCCTAGGCATGCTTCTGATCAGGTGGTCAATGTCCTCCTGTGGTATCTCATTCCAGGCAACCACCAACTCCTCTCGAAGTGCTTCTAGAGTCTGAGGAGGACGTTGCAAATTGAGCAATCTCCTACCCATCATATCCCACACGTGCTCAATTGGGGATAAGTCGGGAGATCTTGGTGGCCATGGTAACAATGTGACATCTTTATGTTGAAAGAAGTTTATTGTGACTCTTGCAACATGTGGTCGGGCATTATCTTGTTGGAAAGTTGGATCTGCCAGGGTGTCAAGACAGGGTAAAAGATGGGGTTCTAGAACTTCGTGGATATAACGCTGCGCGTTCATGTTACCTCTGATGAAGATTAAACGTGACCTGGAACCATAAGCTATAGCACCTCAAACCATAACTCCAACAGTGTGATGAACATGTCTTTCAACAAACTGTGGATACCTCCTTTCACCACGTCGCCTTCTAACCCTGGCACGACCCATCGTGCATGCCTAAACAAAATCGAGACTCGTCACTAAAGACAATACTGTTCCATTCCTGATCGCAGAGTGATCGTTGTCTGCACCACTCAAGGCGATTACGTCGGTGTTCTCGAGATAAAGGGAGGACCCAATGTGGCCGGTATGAAAACAAGCCAAAACTTCTCATTCGTCGGTAAACACTTCGCATGCCAATAGGTCTTCCGTGTTCTGCAAACCATTCATTTGCAATGGACCTGGTAGTGGAGAAACGGTCCCTTAAGGCCAATAATCTTACGCAGCGATCTTCACGGTCTGTTGTTCTACGGCGGCGTCCAGTGCCCCTTGCTCTTTGCGTACGGCCTTCTCGAAGCCATGCCTGACAACACCTAACCACAGTGTGTACACTTCTTTGCACTCTAACTGCAATTACCCGAAAAGAAAGTCCAGCTTCCCGAAGTCCCACTGTACGGCCCCTATCAAACTCACTAAGTTGACGAAATCGTACAGGTCTCCGTACTCTAGGCATCGTAACTGATCGTAAAGGATGTCAAGAACCAAAATCCGCCAACGTTGATTCTTTACTGCGGCTGTAATATTCATTTTTAGAGCGTTAGTGAATTAAAAAAAAGCAGTATAAAAACCGGAATGTCCAACTGATAAGGCTGAAAATTTTTTCACTTGTTATTTACAGTAAGATAAATACATTCACCAACTTTCATTAAAATAAAACCATTTAAACAGGGTGTTCGGATTTATATGTCACTTAGTATAGTTAGAGAGATATTCTAGAAAAAATTGACAACATCCTATTAGATCGATTACCAGAAAGATGTCCTCTCATTAGTCCATTTAGATGCCGATCAAAATTTGTTATCTCCTCTTAGTAAAATCGGGCTTAAACCTTGAGAAAGTCATGCGCGGATCCAGGTAGGGGGGGGTCATGGGGGTCGTGAACCACCACAGGCGAATTGAGTTCAACCACCAATTTTCAAAGTTCCGAATCTCTTAGATAAGCCTGTAATGCACACATATTAAATGGATACCGTACTGGTATTTTCTACTAAACACCGTCAACTTTGATTTAACTGTAAGGTTATAGATGATAGCGCAAGACTGCTGCCTATGTGGTCAGCTTGACGTAGGAAAAACTGAACAGGTCTTGCCTCTACTCTTCGAGAAATAAAAGGGTCATTTTTACAAAAATTACTTAAGAAATGATATTGAAATTTTGTTATTCAAACTGAATACTAACGCGCTGTTTCATAAACATTACGCAGATGGTCATTAACAGAATATAACAACGTTATCAACTTTACATTCAGACGCGCTGAACAATATAGAGAATAGAGCTGATTTTTGCTGGGGGCCCTGTGACCACCCCTCCTTGGGGGGCTCAGACCGCAATGTCCATTTCACCATTACTAAAGTCCCCCACTGTGACGGACAAAACCACAAAAAAGTTGTTGTAGTGGATTCAAAGGAGATGGTAAGTATTAATATTGATCGATTCGCAGAAAGACAAAGAAGATGAACTAATTTTGTTATTTAACAATAGATTGTTCATTTTCAAATTAGATTTAATATTCTAATCACTTTTAGGCTAAACCCTAAGGGAACAAGGGTAGGGTTGTCATCTGCCATCCGTCCGTCAGTCAAGTTTTCACCGATACACCAGAGCTTTGTGAACGTAGCTGTTAACCGATTTTAAACCAACATGAAGAAATTTTGTTTCATTAACCAAGTTCTACGGTGTCATCTCATCTCCAATAAACCTACCAACTGATATCCAGTTACTTATAGTTGTAAATTCGGGTTGTTAATGACAGTCAAATGTCACGTTATTAGTTCATTGTATACTTGTTAATTTGAATACATAATTTGTGGATTTGATCTAGCAGTAACCCTGATGCAGAGGCTGTTTGGTTAGTTTTATTGACACGTTCCATCGCTGAGTGAAATCACGTGCAATTGGTAGGGTAATTAGTAGTTTATCAATTTAATTGCTCTTTAAGGTTGTTCAGTGAAGTTAATGGTAGCTTCCGAAATTTTCCAGTTTCTACCCCACTAAGTGGCATATTATGCAACACCCGGAATTATTTATTGAATTTTGATAAAATTTGTTAATATATTTGCTATCATGGAAGTATACGCTGATGAAGTGTTGAAGGCATTCCGAGCTGTACTTTTTTGTTAAGGCTTTCTTGTCATATCAGGAACCGGAAAATATGAACATGTGTGCTTAATATTCAGTGATTTTTCTGTGTTGTTTCCAGTTGTTTCATTGGTGTTTCATTGCACTCTCCTGCCTAGAGTTCGCACGGCATGGAGTAGGGAGATACTTGAATGGAATCACAGGTCTGCAATGATAGATACTGGCCACATTACTACCGCATGTACAAAACTTCAAGTTACCAATTTATTACTACTTACTTATTACTAAATTACGAAACATTTCGAAAATAGTTAAGCATTATGAAACGCAGAATCCGTGTCGTTTCGGAACTGACATGAACAGAAAAGTCCAATCTACAGAAAAATGTTACACCAAGATCTTTAGTCTCTGTTGTTCTCTCCAAAACCGCATTGCTTATGGAGTAATCAAACATAATCGGGTTCATTTTACGACAATATGAACATACTTTGCATTTGGAAATATTTAAGAAGAGAATAGTATTGACGCACCATTGTGTGATGGTATGCAGATCATCCTGAAGGGAAATACGGCTCTCCGAATTTGTAATTTTGGTGCAGATTTTCAGATCATCAGCAAATAGTAGAGATTCACAGTTTATTGAAGCGGCTAGGTTATTTATGAAGAATAAAAACAGCAAGGGACCTAGGTTTGAACCTTGCGGTACACCAGAGGGAACAGTATAATTAGCTGAAGAATAACCATTATAATAAGCATATTGCGTCCTATTAGAAAGATATGAGCGTAGAAGACCGACTAACGCCGAAAAAATGAAGGCTATCCACAAAAAGATGATGGTTTAATTTGTCGAAAGCCTTGCTAAAATCCATGTAACTAACATAAACTTGTTGTTTATTGTCCAACGATTCTGCTATATACTGCGTAATTGTCATTAAATTTGACGTAGTGGATCTACCTTTGATAAAACCATGCTGTGATGTTGCAATTAGGCTTTTAACGTACTTGAAGGTAAAAGAGTAAATGGCCATTTCCAAAGCCTTTGCAAAGTTGTTCAAAATGCTTATAGTTTCATAGTTGAGCTACAGGGCGAAAATGTAATATTCTGCTGTGATCTGTCAATTTTTAGTTATAAATCAAACTTAGTTATTTTTAAATTGGTCACCCTGTATATTTTCCCTCGTTTGATTGAGAATTTAATCATCTTTACAGAAATATTTAACAGATGATTGTAATTCAAATAATATATTGAAACTTCATAATTTCACATTATATAAGTTTTTTACGTAACAACCCTGCGGGTGTATGATTGCAGATTAACATTCACAATTGCTTTTATATAATACGGGTACGTAAGTAAGCTACGGAAGCAATGTGCATTAGGGTGAGTCAAAATGTTTTTCTTGGTTTTGAAAAAGGCTCAGTAATAAAAAGGTGCCAAAATGTGTCGTTAATTCGTGTGTAAAATTTTATTACATAATTCTGAGTTTTATCGCCTCCGGATTGTACTGAAGCATCGTGTGTACGTAAACCTCTAGCGTCTCCTCGGGCGTCACTTTACTAATTCTTTATGAAACTTTTGCGTTAGAAAGTGCCGTCGTCTATGTTTCGCTGTCAGAAAAATGGAACGTTCTCGAAGTAGATGAAAGTGCTGTGTGCTGTGTGCGAGCTTGCGTTGTCTCGGTGGGGGATGATTCTTCTTTCAGGGTTGATTTTTCGATGCTCGGTGATGACTTTTGGCAAACAAATGGTGGTATACCAATCCGCAGTAACAGTTCTTTGCTCATTAAGAGGAATTGTTGCAATATGTCCCGCTTTTGACACAAATGTCGTGACCATCTTTTTCGAAGCACTTCGAGAACGGATGACATTTGTTGGCTTTTCTTCACCTTGGAACACCCAAACAGCCGACTGTCGTTTAAATTCTCCATGACAACAAGAAATTGTCGACTGATGTGTGGCGCTTCGTTGCCGAAAACAGACAGTAACTCAGCAAGGCATTCTTGTTGCGATAATTGTCTTTGAAGATTGTAACAAATTATGGCGCGAAAATGTTCTCGGTTGAGTTCAATTTTTCTAATGACTTGGTGACGTTTAAAAATTCACTGTAGTGAGAACACTGCACGTATTGTTATGAAAGTTTGAATTTAAGTTTACCACAGAGTGAGGTTAAGATTCAGTACTGACGATCGATCCGCGCGGCCTACTATGTTTCTATATGCAAAACTTAAAAGAAATCCCTCGTATATAAAGGATTAGAGGTCATTATAGTTGCAAGACCGATAAAAATATGGGCTAAATCCTATCAAATCTCTACAGTTGAACCCAAACGAATTAAGGTAATGTTACAAACGTATCATTTAAAATGCAAAAATCTTCTCAAATCTAATCCAAAAATACCTAAAACAAATTAGAAGAGCTTCATCTTGGAAGTAAAGCCTTGTTTGATATTCCGGCTTGCATGTGTCAAGATTTTCTCAAGTGTGCTTGCCCTAAAAACAAGAAAATACCTGCAAGAGAACGATAGACAAATTGTGATAGACTTAGAAGTCACAACGACAAAAATTACAAGAGCACTGAAAAGGAAGTCGATACGAGAAAATTCTGAGACCAAACGATTAAAAGGAACCGAAGCATGTACTTCTGAATCCAAAAGTGTTCAGTCCGATGATGAAGAATCAACAAAAATCCAGGTGCGGACTTCAAGTACTCAATCTAAGAGTGACACTAGACTTGCTTATACTATGTGATAGATTCTGAGTGTCGAATGGGGTAGGAGCAGCTATCGCAGCAGTTCTTCTACATGCGTCCGGTTCGCAAGTAATAGATAAAAATAAACTACGCCGAGAACGAAAAAAGGCCAGATAAAATATAGGTTAACAGCAAACTGTTTCACAAGTACACGCATTGTATTTTGACGGAAAGAAAGATCAGACTCTAATTATGTCTGAAGTAGAAGGAAAAAACTATAGGATGCGCATAGTCGAAGAGCACATTATTATTATAGCTATATTATACCTGCTGCAGGCACAGCAAAGTGTATAGAACAAGAAATATTTGACTTTTTCTTGAATGCCGATATATCCGTCGATGATTTAACTGCAATTGGAAGTGAAGGGACTGATGTGAATGTTGGCATACAAGGCGGTACTATACGACTGCTAGAGAAACGGTTAGGAAGATCCTTCCAATCGATTATTTGTTTATTCCATATGAATGGTAGTCCATTTAGATATCTGTTCCAATATATTGATGGCAGTACATCCAGACCAAGAACATTTTCAGGGACTATTGGCAAAGATCTTGACAACTGCTAAAAAAGACCTATAACTAAGTTTAAGCCTATTCCAACGAGCCAGCCAAAAATACTTGTACAGAATAGTTGAAGCAGTCTCAACAGGTACATTTCCTAGCGATTTGGCTAATAAATCTATGTAGAATGTCTTATGCGAGTTAGCTGACTCGTGCGAACAGGATCCTCCGTCTGTATGTTTCTGTAGAGACTGCACCTGAAAGTCTAATGACTCTTGCAACGTATGCTGTCAAGGTTTGTGCTCCGATATGGTTTTCCATAAAATCTCACTCTAGCAATAAAGACGGATCGCGACACTTTTTCAAACTCATCGTAAAAACGTTTATGTGCTGCCAACAATTGTCACTCAACTCAGGTAGGTAATATTAAAGCTTCAGTTTTATTATCTAATTTACACCACTTGGATGATGTTCTGAATGGTGACGCTAAGAATGTAGATGCTCCGAGGGAATATTCAGGTAAAGACCAGTTCAAAGCCGCAACCAACTATGCTTACAATATTTTGAATAGCACATAACTATTCACCGATGGAGAGACAATTTTAGAAGAATCGCGTTTAACAGTGATGGAATAATGTTTGAGATCCAGCCAAGATTTTGTGTTTCAGCAAGATGGTGCAGCGTGCCATACCTCAAAAATGGCATGGTTCCGTGCGACTTTTTCTTATTTCCACGGATGAAAAGGGGCATAAAAGGACGTCGCTTTGACGATATTAGACAGGTCAAGAAAAAAACGAGGGAGGAGCTTTTAGACATTTCTAAGGAAGACTTCAAAAAATGTTTCTGGCAGTGGGATTTTGAAGGGGATAAGGTTACTTTGTGAAAAAGTTGAAAATAGACAGCTGTTCTCTTGTTGGTATCGGCATAGGTTAAAAATAAAGGAATAATGAGCTGGAATTGATTAAGGATAGAGGCGGAATAAAATGCTCAAGAATGGTTATGTAAACAGAAATGGCTAGTTTACAATCAAATAACATCCTGAAGCGTGACCGTAGTCGCAGTTCTCTGAGTTGGGATGGTCCTTGTAAATCTATCTCGGAACTGAAAATGATTTTCCTTGCACTGGTTTGTAAGATGTCGGACAAGTTAAGGAACCAACATTATGTTCATTTATTTTCATCAAGTTCGTAACAAACTCTTGTCGACGTTACTCAAACACTTCTTGTGCTTTGCTTGCTTTTTTTTGGTATAAGGTAACTAGCTTTTTAACACAGTTAGGTAGAGATTGGTAAGGTTGATGCTCTCATGTCCACTTAATTTCACTCCCGGTAGATTATTATAGAACAAGCTAGCACTTGCTCATTACAGGGAAGCTTTGAACCGTCCCCTATTAAAAATATTCCCTTTTTAGAAATGCGTAATTCCGTCGACATGTTGACTGAACGAAAACTGTCCGTTTACTAATAGAACAAATGAGCGCCTAATATGCAAGACTTGACATGTTCCAACGCAACTCGGCACGGGTTGTCCTGGTTCAAGGTACATAAAGCTTTGTCCAAGCAAAATTAGAGGATATGCACTTAAAAAAGAAGAACTTTCATTTTCCCTAATCTACAAGAAGAGCAACATTCGTGTCCTAATGGTGGCATGGTACATAGCTTTTGATCTATCTTGGTGATTGATGCCAGTCCCGCCTGCTCCTGCAGAAATTCATTCCAGTTAGCTGAAGTTTAGCAACGCATGAGATTAACTGTCTGCTTTTTGTTCGGGTGGGTCCACCTTCTCTGCTATTCCACTTTTTCTCGGGTTACTGTCTTAAAGGGCGGTTTTTGCTCGGTCTCTCCGACAGCCTTTCATTTTTACAACATCCATTAATCATCTCTTAAGATGTTATGTAAATACGGCGGCAAAGTCATTAGCATCATCATAATATATCAAAATGTCCCCGTTTAATTATATTCAAGTTTTTAATTGTCCCTTGGTCGTTTTATTAAAAACGCGCGCGGCTCATCACCTTCCTTGACTTGCGACCTCATTCATCGAGCGAACATTAGAAATTATTGGAAGTACAAGGATGTTCTGAGTTGTATCTATCAAAAATAGGAGATAGACCCTCTACGCTACCGGATATCTAGCAAAATGATGTGATTGCAGCGTCGGCAACATTGCCAAATCGTCTGGATTCTACTGCATGTCCATGTGTGGCAATGATAAGTACTTTCAAGCCTAGAAAATCGTAGACATACCTAGTATCCAGATACTACTGACACTGACGTCGTAATGTGTACGAGAGAGAAGGGCGATAAGCATGCAGTACGTGCGTTAGAAAGAGACAGAAACCGAATGACAAGACCACGGATGAAGCTGCTGAATGAGTCAACCAACTTGACAGCATTTTATTGCTGTCTGGTAGAGTGCTTCACACTCCTGCATGGACCATATTTCGCAGACTCTTACGAAATGTATCAAACTTTGCCCAATCACGTTATTCCTAGAGTGAGTCGACCTACCTGACGTAATTATAATGTTGAATGGTTGGGTGTTTCACGCTCTTTAGTGTACCACATTCTACAGTCGCTCACAAAATCTATCCCCTAATCCGCCCAACATCGTGATTCCCGAACGAGTCAACCTACTTGACGTCATTTTGTTAATGCACGTTAGGGTGTCGCACTCACCTACATGTATCGCATTTTGCAAACGCTCACAAAATTTACCTTATATGGTAAGTTCTAGGGCTACCGAAGGGTCGACAACTACCGCAAACCAAAGTTGAGAAAGATTTTTCACAAAAAAATTAATTTAAGATTTTTTGCGTTGATTTCTAATTAGCTCCGTTAAAAAGTCATATGACCATTGCTAAAACTAACCATTTAGCTCGACTCGAAAAAAAATCACAGAACTAAACCTAATGGTTTAGTTGTAATTGCGGTTGAAAGCTTATTGTTCGTTTTTTTTTCGAAATTTCCCAAAATTGCAAATATCTCCTGAACTTTTGGGCGACACAGATATAGGAGTTCATTCAAGGCACTTTCCATTGGTCCACTACTAATTTCACACCCTGTACATATGTTAGTGGTAATCTATATAATTCAGGTATTCTATACAATACCTAAGCAATGTATAGAATACCTGGGTAGCCCAGGCATTGTATGAAATATGAATATTATTATCCATTACCTCAGCAATGGATACAATTCCTAGGGATTGTATAGAGTACCTGCTGCTCCACCGGCAATGTGTAAAACAAATAGATTTTGGTCTAAATTTATCAACGTTTACCGGCACACCTATAAAATGACGGGCAAATGGAACAAGATATATTATTTAAGATCAACTGAAATTAACAATTAGAGTGCTCGTTAAAAATAACCTTTATGGAAAAGATACAAAAAAGCACCTTTCTATATTCTTACAGGAGGAACCACTGTGACATTTTGAAGTGAACAAAATCTTGCTTTTAAACTCTGGGCGCTGAAGAAAGACATTAAACGTAAACAGTGATCAGCACGTGAACAGATCCCTCGAAAGCATCCACGGATATACTCCAGTTACTTTAGGTCTAAACATCCTCGGCAGTGTATTTCTAGTGAATCCACAGACCCTTTTTCGTGTCATCTTGAGACTAGAAAAAGGATGACTGTTAAAATAAGTTACCTTGATCTTTCATGAGCTCCCAGTACAAAATATCATCGATATATTTTTGATGTAGGAACAACAAATTGGTTTAGAAAACATCCACTTTGAATCTAAATTGACTGGAGTAACATCGATCTACAGACAAATTCAAGGTCACTAGCAGTCGTCGGCGCTCTACGAATCTGCACAGGTTTGGACTTGTAAACGTGATTGTAGATGACACGACAGGCATCTAACAGTTAATTCACGCACAGGATTGCATAGCATACGCATTACGCATTCAGTAGCGTATACTCGTTTTTCGCGAGTGGAACGTTTTGTTTATATATTGCCTAAGATACGATGTCTGACACAGATACAGCCGACGAAGTGGTTGACATCAGCGCAACCCCACCCAAAAAAGGGCTAAGAAGCTACATTTAAGTGCAAATGAAAAACAAATAATATTAAATATATACAAAAACCAAATTCAAGAAAAACCCGATTTGGTCGTGGACGAAGTTATATGTAAGGTAGCACATATTTCTGGAGTATGTCGGTCCAGTGTTTATAGGATCATTAAGGAATATAGGAGCACTCACTCACTTTCTGAGCCAAAACCGTATCCTGCAAGAAAAAGGATAACGGACGGAGTAGATGACTTTGACAGAACTGCCATCAGGAGGAAAGTGCATAATTTTTTCTTCCGAAATGGGATACCTACAGTAGATAAGATATTAAGATTAGTTAATGCTGATGAGGATCATTTAAAAGAACCACATTCCGAAAACTTTTGAAGGAACTTAATTTTCGATTCTTGAAACGGGGAAGAAACAGTATGTTAATAGAGAAAGAAGAAATTGTTGTGTGGAGAAGGGAATACCTTAGGAAGATTCGGAAGTTTCGCGATGAAAAAAGAAAAATTTACTATTTGGACGAAACGTGGGTGAATGCTGGACATACTCAAGCGAAAGTTTGGGTCGACAAATCAGTAACATCATCAAGGCAGGCTTTTCTAGACGGTCTTTCGGCTGGATTGAAAAATCCTGCAGGTAAGCTCCTTCATCTATCCGGCAATTTAATTTTGATAAATTCGGGCAAATAATATGCTGTGATAGCAGATAATGTGTGATATTCTCCAAAAATGGTGCATTCGCAGTGTAGTCATTAGGAGAAAAACTTCGACCCTCTTTTAAGCGTTATTTTGAAATTTATTATCATTTTTGGGTGCAGTCAATTTGCTTTGAATGGGTTTTGAGAAGTTGCAAACTTCAATTTTCTACGTTTTTCAGTTTTTGATCAGCATTCCGTGACTCTTAAATTCAGCTAAATGAACTCAATTGCCTCATTCCTTCAAATTTAATCAATCCATAGTGTAAGGAATAATTTATTCCCAGGAAAAGGCAAACGGCTGATCATTTGTCACGTAGGTAGTGAAGACGGCTTTGTTCCCGAAGCACTGTGGGCCTTTGAATCAAAAAAGACAGGTGACTATCATGAGCAGATGGAAGGCAATTCCTTTGAAAATTGGTTCTCCAAAATGTTACTAAAGCTGGAGAATAACGCTGTTATTGTACTGGATAATGCCCCGTACCATTCTAGAAAAATAGAAAATTCCCACAATGGCAACTAAAAAAGC